AGCTGTTTTTGCAAAAGGCGCAAGTTTGTTTTTGAAACAGAGATCGCAAGTGATAGAAGATGTTGAGAGACTGTTATTGGTGTGGATAAACGAAAAACAGATAGCAGGAGATAGCATCTCTAAGGCGATCATATGTGAAAAGGCTAGGAAGTTGCATGACGATTTAATTAGAAAAATGCCTGCAACTACTGGTGATGTGAGTGAATTTAAGGCCAGCAAAGGTTGGTTTGAGAGATTTAAGAATCGTAGTGGCTTACACAGTGTGATAAGGCATGGTGAGGCTGCCAGTTCGGACCAAAAAGCGGCTGAAAAATATGTGAAGGAATTCAAGGAGTACATAGACAGTGAAGAATTGCAACCTGAACAAGTGTTTAATTGCGACAAAACAGGCCTGTTTTGGAAGAAAATGCAAAGCAGGACCTACATTACTCAGGAGGAAAAGGCAATCCTAGGACATAAGCCTATGAAGGGCAGGCTTACTCTTCTGATGTGTGCTAATCCTAGTGGTGATTGCAAAGTGAAGCCTTTATTGGTGTATCACTCTGAAACTCCCAGAGCGTTCAGGCAAAACAATGTCGTCAAGGCTAATTTGTGTGTGCTGTGGAGGGCAAACAGTAAGGCATGGGTCACTAGGGACTTTTTCTATGACTGGTTACACCATGTATTTGCCCCCCCACTGTGAAAAATTACCTAATGGAAAAGAAAATGAACCTTAAGTACCTCCTGGTATTAGACAATGCTCCTGGTCATCCTTCAGACTTGGCAGAGCGGCTTTCTAGGGGCATGAGCTTCATTAAGGTCAAGTTTTTGCCTCCTAATACCATTCCTCTCCTGGACCAACAGGTCATTTCAAACTTCAAAAAACTCTACACAAAAGCTGTTTCAAAAGTGCTTTGAAGCGACCTCAGACACTTGATTGACTCTCTTAAGAGAGTTTTGGAAAGATCACTTTAGCATCCTCAGTTGTGTAAACCTTATAGGTAAGGCTTGGGAGGGAGTGACTAAGAGGACCTTGAACTCTGCTTGGAAGAAACTGTGGCCAGAATGTGTAGAAGAAAGGGATTTTGAAGGGTTTGAGGCTAACCCTGAGAAGCATATGCCAGTTGTGGAATCCATTGTGGCACTGGGGAAGACCTTGGGGTTGGAGGTTAGTGGGGAGGATGTGGAAGAGTTGGTGGAGGAGGACAATGAAGAACTAACCACTTAAGAGCTGCAAGATCATCAACAGCAAGAGGCCAGACCTGAGGAAACTGTTTCAGAGGAGGGGAGAGAGAAATTGAGGAAGTTGCCTACTTCAAAGATTAAGGAAATGTTTGCAAAGTGGGTTGAACTGCAAACCTTTGCAGATGAAAATCACCCAGACACAGCTACTGCAAGCTGTGCTGGCGACTATTACAATGACAATGTTATGGCCCATTTTAGGAAAGTCTTAAAGGAACGGGAGGTACAGACCTCTATGGACAGATGTGTTGTGCGACAGAGGTCCAGTGACTCTCAAGCTGGTCCCAGTGGCGTTAAAAGAAGACGGGAAGTAACCCCGGAAAAGGACTTGATACCTCAAGTCCTAATGGAAGGGTATTCCCCTTCTAAACAATCACAACTTCTACACTCTCCCCTCCTCCCATCCCATCAATCATCACCAGATCTTCAATAATGGTAAGTGTCATGTATTCTATTCTTAGTAGAGTAGTAATTGTGAATGTCTTCTTCATCAGTTTGTATGTATTAAAATTAATACTATTTCATGTGGTAAACAATTTTTTTTTTCATACTTTGGGATGTCAGGAATGGATTAATTTGATTTCCATTATTTCTTATGGGGAAAATTAACTCACCTTACGATAATTTTGGCTTATGATGAGCTCTCAGAAATGGATTAATATCGTAAGGCGGGGGTCCACTGTATATATACGTCAAACACATTAGCTCATTAGATGTACGTGTATGACCAAAACAGTCAAAGAGGTTAACTGAGGATCCACTGCAATGTATATTAGAACTGATTTCCTCTATTCTGCTTATTTCAATATACAGTACACTAATGTATAAACATTTAAAAATGTACCAGAAATGTTATAAATGGTGCAAATGTGACATTAAAATAATATCAAATATGGTTGACACAAACCTACTACCATTATAGTATGCTCCTCACTTAGCAACGAATTCATTTAACCCTTTAGGGTCTGTGCCATAGTTCTATGGCTGTTTGGTGTGGGTCCAAACCATAGAACTACACCAAAATCCTAGCGGCCTCAAATTTAGCTCAAGAAGCTGGTAGGCCTATATCTGTGATAAATGGTTTAAAAAAACCAACAAGTACCATATAGTACCATATGGTACTATATGGTACTGTTGTATTCAACACAATAACTGCACTAATATTTTCATCATTATTTTGTTTACAATGAACTTGTAAACAAGTTTTGTAAGCAATATAATGATAAACAATTTGTGCAGTTATTGTGCTGAATACAATTTATTTATTTATTTATTTATTTATTTATTATTATTTGGACATGATACATAGTTGTACAAAGAAATACAGTACAAAGAAATACAGTGGTTGAGTGTACATGCCAAAAGTCCCTTGTATGCAGAGCATTATGGGCAGGCTTATTGTGTATTGTATATCACCTGACAGGTCTTCACAGAAGGGACTAATTCAGCAGTTTCCTGCATCAGCAGCCAACATTGTTTTCATAACTTCTGTATCACCATTTAAAATGAGAGGAAGATGGGAATATTTATATATACTGTATATAAATAGTTTATCACCCCGGGAGAGACAGGAGCAATGTAATATTACATATTACACCTCCATCATGCCTCCTTCCCTTCACCAGTGATGGTCCCACTGTTTAACAGAGACAAAGTGGTGTTACACCCCTGTTTTACAAATGAATAAAACACTGAAATAAAATAAAAATAATGAGAAATATCAGTATTTTTGTTTTGGTTATGTTGTATGATTGTGACAACTCCTAAGCTGATTGTTGGGTTGAAAGGGTGTGATGGTCTATGGGCTGTCACAAGTGTTACCCTAGGAGCAATTACAACCCTTCATCCCAGCAATATTCAAAACACTGTGATACTTCTCACGATATCTTAATAATTTCCTAAAATTTATTATGTTATACATTTATAAAAGTGTGGGTATAGGAGCACTATGCCTCCAGCAAACAATGCACTCCTGCACTCATCTCTGGTGAAGGGAGGGAGGAGCAGCAGCAAGAACAGTATGTAGTGTAGTCCTCTCAAGGAAGGTTCTTTGATGCTAGTGAGGGGCTCTCGATCTAGGGAATTGGATCTGTGCTCCAGTTCCCTGAACTGAGCTTGAATGCCTTCCATCCCTCCCCCCTCACAGGTGCTGTATAATCCCTATGGGTTTAACGCTCCACATGATAATTATAAGAATTGTGAGGTGTGGCATAACTCCTCTCACAGACAAGAACAGACCCTGTTTAATTTTTCACATTTTTTTGTGTTATGTACTCAAAAAATTGGTGAATACTACTGCTACAAGTCTAAATAATGGACCCATCTCCGATGAGTACCTATTTTTAAATTTCCTTTATTAAAAAAAATTAATAGGAATGAGAGGTGGAATACTGTCAAACTCCCCATCTCAAGCTATAACATGGGATCTTATGGCAAAATGAGAGTCACTAAACACATTTCTTTGCTTAACAAGCCATTCCTTCAGTCCCTATCTAAGTTGATAGCAAGGTAAGCTCCACAAAGCTTAAAAATCTGTTAGAATCAAATATACCAACTACATTAGTAAAAAAATTATACTGTACATATAAAATAATAAAGCAGATTATTTTATAACTTCAGTCTGTATGATGTGAATCTGAATACAGTAGTCCACCCGTATCTGCAGGAGACACGTTCCAAGACCTACTGTGGATACTCGAAACCACGAATAGTAGTGAACCCTATATATAAGTCATTTTTCGCTTACGTACATACCCATGATAGAGTTTAATTGATAAATTATGGGAAGCATTTCATGGCTTCTCTTAGGTTTTGAAGAACTGCCATCATCACCACTTTTGTGCTCTGGTGTCATTATTAAGCAAAATTAAAGGTTATTTTTGGGCCATGGTAAACCAAGGGTAACTGAAAATGAAAAAACTGAATCCCTGGATGTGGGGGTTCTACTGTACAGTAGGACTGCCGTATCCTCGGGTCCAGTTTCTGCAGTTTGTTATCCGTGGTTAACCATAGCCCAAAATAACCTTTAATTTTGCTTAATAATGACTGCAAAGTGCAAAAACAGTGATGGTGGCAGTTCTTCAAAGCCTAAGAGAAACCATGAAGTGCTTCCCATCATTGAAAAAAATTATAATTCTTGACTTATTGTGCATAATTTATCAAAACTTTATCACAGGTACGTATGTAAATGAAAAATGACATATACATATAGGGTAAAATAATGAATAATAAAAATTTACCACTCCGTAACATGTCTAGTTTTATGAGGTGTGCAAGCACTGATTAGTCTGCCCGACATGCTTAGGCATGTTAGTGGCTTTGTTTGTACTTAACACTATAAAATGTAAATCACACATTATAACCTTTGCGAAGAAATAAAAATTTGTATTTGTAATGTGCATGGGCCAAACACCACACAGGTAGTGCTTTCAGCAGCCCACAGTTATCTCGCAGGGAGCTGTCTTAACAATTATTTCAGGTGCCACTTAGTGTCAAAAATCTGAGTGCTGTCTTGATAATTTCATCATTAACAGCAACTAATGCTATCAATTATTACTTCACTCTACCTGAATGTAACTAAGTGGACCACTGCAGTAATGCTTGTGAATGCCAGCAGAAGATAAAAAAAATTACTACAGAATATATCCATGGTCGAAAACTTTAATAGACGATCATCGAACAATTCCTCGCAGTACTGTTCCACGGACAATTTGGTAATGTTGCTTAGGTTCGTTTTCAGGTAGTGTAGTGGTTATGACTTAATCTCTGGGAAAACTTACATAAAGGGTGACACACAGAAGTCTCCTCTGGTAGACCGCCACTGGTGGGAGCAGCTCACCAGTTACCCACACACAACACTGCTGTCACCTGCCATTATCCCTCTTCCCAGTTATGACAGCTTTTAAAAAGAAATAAAAAAGAATATTAAGAAAGGATTTTCAGCTTGTCTTTCCTTTTGCATCATAATTATATGGCAATTTTAGCCACAATTCAGTGTAAAGAACTGTGCTAATACTTTAAGTGTACAGTGCACACAAAGTTTATTTTCAGAATGTACATAACTGTAAAAAAAATCTGGCAAAATTTAAAGCATACATTTTACAAACATACCTAAATATTGGAAGGGCATGCATAATTACTTTGTATAAGGGAATAGCTTGCAAACATGTGTAGAGGAGGGAGATAAATCTGTTGAATATTCTGAGTAAAGGGTACTGTAAAATTATCATTGAAAAAGTTAGGGATAAGAAAGAACGTAGGATTGCAGAGGAACAAAGATGATTTACAAAAGTTTGGGGATGTGTAGACCAACTGTTTACATTGAAGCATTCAGGGGAACCATACTTAAATAAGGGCTAGAAACTATTTGTAGCATTTGATAGAGTGGCTAGAAGAGCAATATACCTGTGGATGGGTTTCAAGTGTTTTTCTACTCTTAGAGCCCAGCACTGGGCTGAGCTCCAGGCCAGTGGCCTACTGGCCTAAATATCCATCACAGCCTGGTTGATGTGGCAGAGATACTCCTCAAATTTACCCTTGAAGAATTCTACACCTGTTTCAGCAGTTTCTCTTATCTTCTGATATAATGTTGAATAGTCTGGGCTAATGCCTGCTTTTCAATGAGTTTATGTTTCATCCCATATCACTCACTTCACTATGTTATGGCAGTGTGCAGATCTGAGACTAGACCAGAACCTTTCACATATATATTATAGTATTGTGACCATGAACAAGTGGTATTTAACCCCTTGACTGTCGAAAACTCCAAATCCTGAGGTGTCTCCTGGTGTCAAAAATTTTTTTGGAAAAAAAAAAAAAATCTTATGAAATGATAGAGGATCTTTTCCCAATGGTAATGACAGCAAAAGAATGAAATTTGATGGAAAACTGACAGAATTACGTTCACGCAAAGTTAGCGACCTCAGCAATATTTACGAATCAGCGATTTCGCCCACTTTGAGCCCTATTTTCGGCTAATTCCAGTGTTCCAGTCGATCAAACTCATACCTATATCTTTAGAACTCCATTTGCTCTATCGATTAAGTACAAGAAACTTCCCATTTACCGATTTCAACTACCCAATAACATGGTCAGAAATTTGCAATTTGGCCAATTGCACAAATTAAAAAATATGCCAATTTCAAAATAGGGTCCAGAATGAACAATGCAGACATTCCTGGCTCTAAAATAACATTTTCTTTGCTCATCAGTCACATCTCCAGGCCCCTCTGATATTACTCTTGCTTTCTATTTTGAATTTTTATTCAAACAAAAAATAGAAGATTTACTGTTATGCAGACTGCTGCAATATTGTAATAATTGTATAAATAATGTCAACCCATTCATGACTGCATATTAGAATGGCTAGTATGAAAATTAATTGGACAATAACATCATTTGTTTACTTTTGAACATCGGCAAAAAGCAAACATTTCCCCTACTTTGAGCTCCATTTCAAGGTTCTTTTCATAATAAAACCAATCAAAATCACCTCTATTTCTATATGTTTTCCATTCTATCAAGTGAGACCAAGAAAACGAGAATAGGACCATAAATACTATACGAAAATACACCGCAAAGTCAGTGTTTTAATCCAAAAACATTGAGTTTTTTTCTCATTATGCACTGCGTGCTGCAGAATTTTTTTTATATGGTGTACACTGACCACACAGACCCAGTCTCTCACATGTGGGCCTACCAGCTTTCTCCTGCTTGATTTAAAGCCACTAGAATTTTTGAGTATACATTTATATAGTACATCAAACACAGTGGCTCGTAAGACGTATTTATATGACCAAAACAGTCAAAGGGTTAAATGTTTCCAGAAATTAAGGTGCTTTACTGAATTTATATGAGCAGTGAAGGTCCCCTTTACATTCTCCATATTTGCAGTTTTATCTACCTTGAAAGGGGCTGTTAGTGTACAGCAGTATGCCAGCCTAGTTAGAACAAGTGACTTGTATCATTTTGTAGAATTACCGGCAATATGTAAAGTAAAAGGACACAAGTGCAACTAATGTGACATTTTACTGTGGCAACATTTTCGCTCTCCTGCTAATACTATACAAGCACATTACAGAGGATGAGCTTTGAAACAGGCCTTCTCTAATCCAGCCTCCAACATAAATATCTGTCCAACCTATTTTTATGTTACCAAGTACGTACAGTGGATCCCGGAGTTTCGTGATTAATCCGTTCCAGAGAGTCTGCCGAATGTCGAAACTGCCGAATGGCAAAACCATTTTCCCCATAAGAAATAATGGAAATAAAATCAATCCTTTCCAGACACCCAAAAATATTAAAATATTTTTTTTTTCAAATTAAATAAAGATTTACATACTGAAAATAATGAGAAATCAAGTACATACATATAAAAAATAATAGTCTTACACTTACCTTTACTGAAGACTTCTGGGTGGATGGAAGATGGGAGGAGGAGATAGGAGGAAGGTGTACACTATTGTTTGGAAGGAGAATCTCCTTCCATTAGGACTTCAGGTACCAAGTCCTTATCTGGGGTTACTTCCCTTCTTTGTTTTTTAAAGACACTGGGAACAACTTGAGAGTCACTGGACCCCTGTCACACAAAATATCTGTCCAAAGAGCTCTGTTTCTGGCATTTCTAAGATTTGTCTGAAGTGGGACATAACACTGTCATTGCACATGTTGCCAATACAGCCTGCAACAGCTTTGTTAGGGTGAAGTTCATCCATAAATGTTTGCACTTCAGTCCACTTTGCACAAATGTCTTTGATCTTTGAAGAAGGCACCTTCCTCCATCTCTCTTCCTCCTCCTCTGCAGCAATTTCCTGAGCTGTGATCTCTTGCTGTTGCAGATGAAGCTCTTGCAGCTCTTCAGTGGTTAGCTCTTCCCTGTGGTCCTCCACCAACTCTTCCACATCCTCGCCACTCACCTCCAACCCCAGGGACTTCCCCAATGCCACAATAGATTACACAACTGGCATAGGCTCCTTAGGGTCAGCCCCAAACCCTTCAAAATCCCTCTCTTGTACACATTCTGGCCACAATTTTCTCCAAGCAGAATTCGAAGTTCTGCAAGTCACTCCTTCCCAAGCCTTACCTATAAGGTTTATGCAAGTGAGGATATTGAAGTGACCTTTCCAGAACTCTCTCAGGGTCAATGCAGTGTCTGAGGTCACTTCAAAGCGCTTTTGAAACACTGTTTTGGTGTACAGTTTTTTGAAGTTTGAAATGACTTGCTGGTCCATAGGCTGGATGAGAGGAGTTGCATTAGGGGGCAAGAACTTCACCGTAATGAAACTAAACTCATTCACTATTTGCTCTTCCAAGTCTGGAGGATGAGCAGGAGCATTGTCCATTACCAGGAGGCACCTGAGTGGCAATTTATTTTCTAGGAGGTATTTCTTCACACTGGGGCCAACATTCATTAAACCAGTCTAGGAAAATTCCCCTTGTGACCCATGCCTTATTGTTAGCCTTCCACATCACACACAAATTCCTCTTGGTGACACTTTTTCTTGAACACTCTGGGGATTTCAGAGTGATACACTAGCATTACTACAAAATCATGAGAGTAAGCCTATCCTTCATAGGCTTGTGTCCTGGGAGTGTCGTTTCCTCCTGCGTAATGTAGGTCCTCTTTGGCATTTTCTTCCAAAAAGAGGCCTGTTTCGTCACAATTAAACACTTGTTGTGGTTTGAATTCTCCAGTGTCTACGCACTCCTTAAACTCCTGTACAAACTTCTCAGCTGCTTTTTTGTCAGAACTGGTAGCCTCACCATGCCTTATCACACTGTGAATGCCACTACGCTTCTTAAATCTCTCAAACCAACCTTTGCTGGCCTTAAAATCACAAGCGTCACCACTCGTTGCAGGCATTTTCTTTACGAGATCATCATGCAAATGCCTTGCCTTTTCACATATTATAGACTGCATAATACTATCTCCTGCTAACTGTTTTTGGGTAATCCACACAAACAATAACCTTTCCACTTCTGCGAGGATTTGTGATCTCTTTTTTGTCAGCATATCTACCCCTTTTTCAACAACAGCACACTTTATTTCCTTTCCCTTCGCCACGATCGAAGTGATGGTTGAATGGGGTTTGCCATACATCCTAGCAAGTTCTGTAACACGCACTCCGCTCTCATATTTTTCAATGATTTCCTTCTTGAATTCGATCGTGTTCCTTGCTTTCTTTACCAAAGGGCTTGCACTAGCTTTCCTTGGGCCCATGGTGACTTATTTAGCAGTTGCAAGCACAAAAAACAATGGATTATTATGAAATGTATTGTATGAACCCGCAGGGTGATGGTCACATGTTAGTAAACAATGGCACACCGAGTGTGAATGGTGCAGGAGACTGGCTTTGTGTGCGCAGTGATGGGTGGACAGGTACCAGACGGTCGCCGAATCATGAGTCCAATCATGAACCGCGAGGCTAAATTTTGCCGAAAAAACTTGCCGAAAGTCGGATTTCATGAAAGTCGATGCCGACAAAACTCAGGGGTCCATTGTACAGTGGACCCTCAGCTAATGAAGGCATCATCTAATGATAAATTTGCCCAACGAAGCATTTGAGCGTAAAAAATTTTGGCCCGGCCAACGATGAAAAACTCAAAAAATGTGATTCGTCCGGTACGCATCCACATGTGGCCTTAGCTGCCCCTTGTGTGCCAGTGTTTACAAGCCAGCCAGTGCGGTCGCATCCACGCATACATTCGGTGCATTTTATATTATTCCAGTGTTTTTAGTGCCTGTAACTACAAAATAAGTCACCATGGGCCCCAAGAAAGCTTCTAGTGCCAACCCTGTGGTAAAAAGGGTGAGAATTAATATGGAATTGAAAAGAGAGATATTGCAAACTACGAAAGTGGAGTGCGCATCTCGGAGCTGGCCAGGTTGTATAACAAACCTCAATCAACCATCGCTACTATCTTGGCCAACAAAAGGGCAATCAAGGAAGCTGTTGTTGCAAAAGGTGAAATTATGTTTTCGAAACAGAGATCGCAAATACTCGAAGATGTTGAGAGACTGTTACTGGTGTGGATAAACGAAAAACAGATATCAGGAGATAGCATCTCTCAAGCGATCATGTGTGAAAAGGCTAGGAACCTGCATGTCGATTTAATTAAAAAAATGCCTGCAACTAGTGGTGATGTGAGTGAATTTAAGGTCAGTCAAGGTTGGTTTATGAGATTTAAGAATCACAGTGGCATACATAGTGTGATAAGGCATGGTGAGGCTGCCAGTTCAGACCAAAAAGCGGCTGAAAAATATGTGCAGGAATTCAAGGAGTACATAGAGGCTGAAGGATTGAAACTTGAACAAGTGTTTAATTGTGATGAAACAGCCCTGTTTTGGAAGAAAATGCCAAGCAGGACCTACATTACTCAGGAGGAAAAAGCACTCCCAGGACACAAGCCTATGAAAGACAGGCTAACCTTACTGTTGTGTAGTAATGCTAGTGGGGATTGCAGAGTTAAGCCTCTACTCGTGTATCACTCAAACTCCAAGAGTGTTCAGGAAAAACAATGTCCTCAAAGCTAATTTGTGTGTGATGTGGAGGGCAAACAGTAAGTCATGGGTCACTAGGGACTTTTTCTGTGACTGGTTTCACCATGTGTTTGGCCACATTGTGAAAAATTACCTCCTAGAAAATAAATTGAACCTTAAGTGCCTCCTGATATTAGACAAAGCTCCTGGTCATCCTTCAGACTTGGCAGAGCGAACT